CGTCGCAAGCCGATGATCTCTGGAGGAACGGCTATCGCGAGCCACCTTATCTGGGCGAAAATATATACGAACTCTTTAGCTATAAACATCCCGTGATAAAAATTATACCAGGAGTGCTATAATATTAGTAAATTATTTAATATGGTGTAATTTAATTTTTGTCTGCATTATACGCTCCAAAAAATATCTATTATGAATACTACTGACATTAATCTAACGTTTATCACGCCTTGATAACGTCATATGTACGCATGAGGCGCCAATACCTAGCATATCTGTGCATACAACAGACTAATGATAGATAGATGTACAATACAAATAAATAGAATCAATAACATAGATAATAATAATAATATAATAATAATAATAATAATAATAATTAATGTTAATAATAATAAAATAATATTATAATAATAATAATAATAATAATTAATAATAAATAATAAAAGTCTTGGGTATGACTTAAAACTGCATCCGGTTGTGGATTCAAACGTGGGAGAATGAGGTTACCCTTTGCCACAACTACCTCCAGGTCACCCTAGAGCAAGGTGTAAGCACCTGTTAGCTCTCCCCGGAAACTCTGAAGTATCGGGTTGGGCGTCGACGGGGGGCCAAGTCTGTCTTCATGGGTAGGAGGGACTCTTTAGCTTGAATGGCAACCCCCCTAGAGATGGGTGTCTCGTAAAAAATACCGCTCTCGATCTGGAGTAGCAAACTCCCGATAACTGTGACATTATGGTCCACGGACGTATGGACGTGCCCTGATGTCCAGGAAAGTTTGCCCTAACTATGGGTTAAATAGTCAATATCATAACATAATGAATAAGCCAATACGAAAGTCATACCGCATCGCTCGTCGCGCGGGTCAACAAGGAGCGCGTCCCTCAGTGATCGCCGAACAAGCTGAGGTCGAAACATCAGTTATTGAGTCGGCAAACCTTAACAGCCAAGCAGACCGAGATCCAATCTCAAGTTGGCCTAACTGAAGCAGCACTAACACCGCAGGCACAGTCCACCAACGCAGAAATAACCAACAGAGAAACAAGAAACCAGTGGACAAAGGATCAATACAAGGATGTGATGTGGTCCTATTATTTAGCCCAAGAGAACAACACTGATGGCGGGGTAGTAAAAGGTACATACACGATCTGGCGAGGCAGGCATCTAAACATCTTTCCAGCCACCAATTCAAATACTCTTGCTAATACCAGGAGGTGGATTATTAAGAACAAGAAGCTCACCGATACTGAACTTGAGCAGATAGTGGCAGCTGTCCGCAAGCAAAATAATGCATCGCAACCAACACTTATTCCCACTAAGCAACCTGAATACCTACAACTCTCAGAGCCCGAGGCTGAACAAACACCGCAGCATACGGATACCAATGAAGCTGAATCAGTAGTGGATATGGAAGATCGAATCTCTACTAAGCTGCTTGAAACTCAGGCAATCCCCCTGGATCAACGCAGAAGCCTGATAAAGATTCATCTCAACTAGGCATTACGGCACGATATTCAAGCGGCAAATCAGGCCCTCACCAATATCATCAAAGATAACTATCTAAACTTATCAGAAATCAATGAATTAATGTACGCGACTGCTGCCGTTATTGCTGGAGAGACAAAAGAGAGAGTCACAAAGCCCGCAGAGGAACCAACATAGAAGAAGAGAATCAGAACAAAAATTGAAAACCATCGCAAGGACCGCTCTATCCTTAGCGAAATAAAAAAAGGTGTCACAACAAAACAAGTACATGCCAAGGCCAGGAGCATCTTATGCAAGAGCCGAAGGGAGAATAAGACCATATGCGAGCTCGAACAAGAAATAAAGATAAAGCTACAGGCCAAAGCTCAGAGGTTGAGAAGGTTTACTAAGCGGAATAAGCACTACTATCAGAATAAGCTCTTCCATAAAGATGCCAAAAAATTCTACCGGCATCTCAACGAGCAGCAAAGCACCATCAAGGAGCTTCTCTCTAAAAATTGACTCGATAAATTCTGGCGTGGAATACTGGAGGTTGGCACAGACCACAGTACCAAAGCCACTTGGATCAAACATGAGGAGGAAGCATTCCAGAATGTAGCAATGAATGCATGGACTGACATTGCAATGTGTAAAGTACATCAGGCCATCAAGCGGACACACAATTGAAAGTCTCCTGGCCCAGACAAGCTGCACAACTTCTGGATTAAGCATTTAAGTGCCCTCCATAAACAACTAACTAGGGCCTTGAATGACACCATCAAGGATCCAAACAATAGCCCTAAGTGGTTGACATCAGGAATCACTTTCCTTCTTTCAAAAGACAAGGATACAAAAAAACCTAAGAACTATCGACCAATCACTTGCCTGCCTACCACCTACAAGATTCTCACTGCTGCAATCAGCAACCGCTTCTACAATCGCTTACAGAAGAGCGACATTCTCACAGATGAGCAGAAAAGCTGTAGAAGAGCGTCTAGAAGGTGCAAAGACCAACTTCTCATTAGTAACATGATTGTGAGCATGGCAAAAAAGCTCAAGAGGAACCTAGGAATGGCGTGGATTGATTATAAAAAAGTCTTCGACAGTGTCCCACATTCCTGGATTCTCGCACCCATGAGAATCTACCGTGTGTCACCAACCATCATTCAGTTCATGGAAGCTACAATGAAGAAATGGAAGACTGAAATGCTCCGTTTCACTCAAGGAGGCTGCCTCAGGACAGAAGATATTTCAATTAAGAGAGGAATCTTCCAGGGTGACTCGCTCTCTACCCTCCTATTCTGCTTAGAACTAACACCGCTTACCAACATGCTGAATAGACAGGGTCTGGGATTTACAGTCGATAAACACAATACCATCAGCCACCTGCTCTACATGGATGACCTTAAACTGTTCACCAAGAACGAATATGAGTTGGAGCAGGCCTTGGTAACAGTCAAAGCATTCAGTGATGACATCAAAATGGAGTTCGGCTTGGAAAAATGTGCAACCGCAATCTTAATAGGTGGTAAGCTAGTAAAAAGTCAAAATATCGAGCTTGATGACAAGACAGCCCTACAAAGTCTAAACCACAAGGACACCTACAAATATCTTGGTGTAGACGAAAGTGATGGTATTCAGCATGCAAAGATAAAGGAGAACATTGCTAAAGAGTACTATCGCCGAGTTCGCCTAGTTCTCAAGTCTGAGCTCTGCTCAAAAAACAAGATAACAGCGATCAATAGCCTGCCACTCCTAGTCCCCGTGTACAGCTTCGGGGTGATCAACTGGCTGCAATCAGATATCGAAAGGATGGATCGCATGACAAGAAAGCTACTAACCATGCACGTTCTCCATCACCCAAAAGCAGATGTAGAGCGACTGTACATCAAGAGGCAAAATGGTGGTCGTGGTCTCATTAAACTGATGTATGCGTACAACATTGCCATTGTAGGTCTAGGCGACTACATCGAGCTTAAGAAAGACAAATTTACAAAGCTTATCAAAATTCATCAGTCTGGAATATCAAAGCACGCTCTCTTACGCGAGGCTAAAGAAATCAAAGCCAAGTACTTGTCTCNGATTTATATTTAGGAGGGCAGTGTACGTTGTATGTGGAGGGGGTTACATAGGAAAGTACGTGAAGCCACCATTATCACGTACAGTCTTGTATTTATTTAGAAGATTTATATTTAGGAGGGCAGTGTACGTTGTATGTGGAGGGAGGGGTTACATAGGAAAGTAAGTAAAGCTTCACTTATTACGTAGACCTTTGTATAGGAGGGCAGTGTATTCTATATGTAAGCGGGTTACATAGAAAAGCAAGTAGCGTCTTATATTATAGGATAGCAAGTTAATGTGGGTGTCAAATACTCTATATGTAGGAGGGCTACATAGAAAAGTGGGTAGCGTCTTATATTATAGGATAGCAAGTTAATGTGGGTGTCATATACTCTATATGTAGGAGGGCTACATAATAAAGCAAGTAGCGTCTTATATTATAGGATAGCAAGTTAATGTGGGTGTCATATACTCTATATGTAGAAGGGCTACATAGTAAAGCAAGTAGCGTCTTATATTATAGGATAGCAAGTTAATGTGGGTGTCATATACTCTATATGTAGAAGGGCTACATAGTAAAGCAAGTAGCGTCTTATATTATAGGATAGCAAGTTAATGTGGGTGTCATATACTCTATATGTAGAAGGGCTACATA